AGCCCCCTTCCCCTACACTGTCCGCAGTCACTTGAGATCTCGACACACATCTCAGGAGGCTTCGGGACTAGTCACACAGTTGGCTGCCATCTTGCTCATGCACTATGGAGGAGCTGTCTGTGAGTCATGAGGGAGTCGCATCCAACTTCTAAATCCAAGATGCTGCTGCTGAGATCTACAGCGCTGGGAAGAATAGGCTTGGGAAAGACAGTGCTGCACCCCATGGACTGCTAAGTATATGTTTCATAAAAATCAGCAGCTACATTACTTGTACCAAAAATTAAGGTACAGTATCAAAACTAGGGAGAAATTTTGCTTTAAGCATTGTCAAAGTGCATGTTTACTTCAGGCACACCATTATGGAACAGTAGCTAAAAGTATGAGCATGCTGTGAAAAATCAAAGGGAAAATCGGGCACAAGATTGAATATTGGCAAAAGCTGCTGAGGTCATGGTGTGGTCCTGCACTTGAGTGGGACTGAGGCATGGAGGCTACAGGTGCAGTAGATAAATGCATGCAGGGTGTGTGCACACTATATCTAGGGTGGCCAGTCTTAGACACTAGTGTCTTGTCTCACTGCTGAGAAAAGGTGTCCAAGATCTAAAGACAGCGTTTGTGCCATACAAATCAGTCAAGATTTCAGTTGCCTTAGCAAAACAAGCATGACAAGTTTGAGCGGAAGACAATTTACCTATTTGTACAACATGTATATGGATTGTGCTATGAAACTGGACCTGCACACATGGAGGAAGTACAAATAGTCTTTATGCCGCTATTGTTCATGTTGGCGACCAGTGTCCAGTACTGTAGGTCAAGGTCAGGCTGTTGGCCTGGTTATATAGACCCCAGTAGCAGTGTGCTTCCTGTTGTCTTACAGGCAGGGCCATGGATAAGGGGGTAACCCAGTCCTCCTGTATGGGCCCAGGCTAACAGGAGGGGCCACGCAGCTGGGTGAACTGAATGTGAGCAAGGAAGGTGATCAGCATGGTAGGGTTGGGGGCAATTATTGGAACTGAACTCCTATATGGCTCTCTCTGCAGCATATGAAAGCTGAATTCTTCTCCTCTCTCTCCCACTGGCTTTCAGCAGCTGCAGAGAGCCATACAGGGGATCAGTTCCAGTAATTGTCCAGTAACACCCATCACTCTCCCTGTGCCCCATATGTTTGCCTCTCCTGTGTGCCCCCACCCCTGCAGTGCTTCCGGTTTCCCTCCTCTGCTTCCCACTGGCAGTTGCAAGCACATAATAGGATCCCTCAGGATAGAGAGTGGGGGAAGAATTTGGTAAATATGTCACATATAACAGCCCCTTCCTTTCCTGAATGAACACAATGAGTGATCAGTACCGATTACCCACTGTGTTCATTCATAACTGAAGCATAGTAACATGTGTTTTTTTTTTTTTTTGGGGGGGGGGGGGGGGGGCGCTGTCAGGCTGGCTGTATTGGGCCCCGTGGTTTCTAACAGTAGCCCTTCTTACAGAGCTCCAGCCAAGTGCACTCCACCTCAAAACAGATGGGAAAATCCAGTGTCTCAGGCTTATGCCTTTAGGTTGGGTTCACACTGATGTGGTGTGGAATTTGCAACGTTTTCTGTGCAAATTGCGCACCGCATAAGAATCGCGCCCCCCATTCATGTGAACCGCTGCAGGTGTGTATGTTAAGTTAACAACACCCCGAAATCGGTCTGCAAAACGTGGTGTGATGTGCACAGGAATCCGGTGCGGTTCCTGTGCAAAGCACATGCGATATACTGTACCGCATATATGTGAACCCAGCCTTAAGTCCATTTATATGCTGAGGATGTCTGACTGAGAACTGGATAGGTGTGTGAGGATCGACTACGTCTACTGCAGATTGATAGCGGGTTACACCTGCAAGGAGTTTGTTAACATTCCTTTTTTTCTTCATGGCTTTCCTCCAGCATGAAGCTTGAATAACCAATTGACTTCTGTCATCAAGTCATATAGCAAGACAAAGGTGTGTAATGAGCAAAGCACTAAAAGCAGAAAATATAAAGTCCAAATTCAATTCTATCCAGACTCTTGTATTGTATAAAGCCTCCTTTTTTCAGGGGTTCAAAGGGTCTCCCTTTTCAGACTTGGTACTTTTAAATTAAAGTGGAGTTCCAGTCACACTGTAAAAAAAATAAAAGTCAGCAGCTACAAAAACTGTAGTTCACCTGTCCATCGATCCTGTGGTGTCCTCCCCGCGGCCCGTTTCACCGACTGTGATCCTGGCGCCAGTATCTTCAGTGTCGGCTCCCGACTGAGACAGCTTGCGGCTTCGCAGCCGGGATCCCACTGTGCATGTAGCACTGTGCTTTCTGAATGGTCCTGTAGTCTTCTGGGACCTGTTACGTGCCCCAGAAGACTACGGGGAGGGAGGGGGGGGGGAGCACAACTTTCACTTCCGATTGCCTATGCAATTGCAGTGGAGGTGGGAGCAGGTACCTGTGAATTTCGGTACAGGGGCGGACTGAAAACTCATGGGGCCCCCGGGTAATAGGGTATCATGGGGCCCCTGTGTACTTGCCCCAACTCAAAAAAGCCTATGAAAAAGGTACCAGGGGCATCTCATGGGGCCCCCTACTGACCCCGGACCCTCGTTTCCAAATGGTCAGTCCACCCCTGTTTCAAGACCTGCCCCCCCCCCCCAGCTCTCCAAAGCTGCCAATACTTAATGGGCAGTGGGGGAACAGTCTTTAACTGATTCCACACCACCCTATAGCAGAATACTGCTACAGGGCAGCACAGGTGCGCACAATCACGTACTGTATATACAGTATCTCCCAAAAGTGAATCCACCCCTCACATTTTTGTAAATATTTTATTATCATTTTCACCCCTTCAACCTCTGCAGCAATGCTGGCAGCACTCATACGTCTATTTCCCAAAGACAACCTCTGGATATGACACTGAGCATGTGCACTCAACTTCTTTGGTCAACCATGGTGAGGCCTTTTCTGAGTGGAACCTGTCCTGTTAAACCGCTGTATGGTCTTGTCCACAGTGCTGCAGCTCAGTTTCAGGGTCTTGGCAATCTTCTTATAGCCTAGACTATCTTTATGTAGAGCAAGAATTCTTTTTTTTCAGATCCTCAGAGAGTTCTTTGCCATGAGGTGCCATGTTGAACGTCCAGTGACCAGTATGAGAGAGTGAGAGCGATAACACCAAATTTAACACACCTGCTCCCCATTCACACCTGAGACCTTGCAACATTAACGAGTCATATGACAACAAGGAGGGAAAAGGGCTAATTGGGCCCAATTTGGACATTTTCACTTAGGGGTGTACTCACTTTAATTTACAGCTGTTTAGACATTAATGGCTGTGTGTTGAATTATTTTGAGGGGACAGTAAATTTAGACTGTTATACAAGCTGTACACTCACTACTTTACATTGTAGCAAAGTGTAATTTCTTCAGTGTTGTCACATGAAAACATATAATAAAATATTTACAAAAATGTGAGGGGTGTACTCACTTCTGTGAGATACTGTTTACATGATTTTGCCGTTCCGGTTAGGGGGCGCAAGTGCGCCCTACCCGCGCTGCTGATCATGGCCTCTGCTGTCAATCACCGCCACCCGGTGTTTGCTAGAGTATCTCCAACGGGGGAGAGACCTGTGTATAAACAACACAGATCTCTCCCGTCAGCTCCTGTACACTGCTTTGTATGGCTCTGCATAGCAGAGCCATACAAAGCAGTGTGCTTACAGTGTAAATCACTCACACAGCATACTGTGAAACAGCACACAGTAAAACACACACAGCACAGTTAACCCTTTCGATTCGGCTAAGCCCTGGTTCACATATGTGCGGGTGGTGCAGCTGCGGATCCTCACAAAAATCCGTGGAGCCACACCACCCTCACAGAGGAATGCGGACTCGCAGGTGGGTGCCATTAGTTCTAATGGCACGCCGCCCGCACTGGGAAATGCAACCGTACTGGGAACTGAGGTTCACGTGCAGGCTGCGTTTTCAGAAGAAGTGCAGGGACTTCTCTGCATGTCACAGAGCACGGGAGTCCATTCAAATGAATGGGCTCTTGTGCCCACACAAAACGCAGCCCACACGGCTGCATATATGTGAACCAGGGGTGAGTGCTCATTTGCACATGTGGCAGCCCATGACTACACTCTGAGAATCCATCTGCTGTGGAACGCTTTTTCAGAGGGCGGTTGACAGAAGATTGGGAGGCGATATGCTGCCTCTTCACTGCCTGTTTTAATCCTGAAAACCCTACTCTGCCATGGTGCAACCACATGCATTACCCATGGTTGTGACACAGCCACATTTTTTTTGAACGGTTCATGTTCGGAGAGTTGAATTTTAGTATCACGGCCAGGGGCGGACTGACCATTTGGAAACTCGAGCACTGCCCGAGGGCCCGGGGTCAGTAGAGGGCCCCACGAGATGCTCCTGGTACCTTTTTCATAGGCTTTTTTGAGTTTGGGGAAGGAAACAGGCGCCCCATGATCCCCTATTGCCCGGGGACCCCATGAGTTGTCAGTCTGCCCCTGATCACGGCATGTGTACCAGCCTCAGGAGAGCAAGTGGTTAAAGCAGAAAGTCCCCTTTAGGGTGGAGCTACTGAGCTAATACAATTGGAAGATGCAAAGAGGTGATTGGTATGATAAGTAATGGGCATGTGGAGCAAGCATAATAATCATTCCTCAGGATCACTCCAATTTTAACAGTCAAAACATGCTTCATGCAACAATACAAAGCCCTGATGAAGAGGGACCCTTTGAACATGTCAAGAACATTGGCTTTTCATGCTACAAGAGTCTGAATACAATTTAAAAACCCGGACCTTATACGATCTGCTCTAGGGAATTCCTTCTTGCATACCAAGTACCTTCTCGAGCAAAGAGCCCTTCCTTCAAGCCACCACTCCTAGGAGAGATGCTTAAGGATAATTATTTCCTCTACACTGCTCAGGACCTGACTGAAAACACCTAATGCTTTAAGAGATAATCATTTCCTCTATTCTGTTTAAGACCTGACAAAAACACTTTGTTCATCAAGAGAACCAGCGCCCCATAACTTCCTTTTACTTCTCAAATATATTGACTCAAGCCATTGAGTCATCATGTTTGCCCATTACGGGTTTACAAGGGAAGTTTTATTCTCCATTTTTTGTCTTTATGTTACATTTGGGGGTCCTGGAGAGAGATTAAAAGATAGTGAATGATTTAGTTCACCAACAACCATTCATAACTTAATACCAGTTTTGGTTATAGTGCCATTTTGTGAGGCAAAATAAAGCATGCTAAGCACAGTAACCTGACAGTAACCAGTTGGCAGTCATCTTGCAATGTAAAGACACCCTTTATACACTCACCGGCCACTTTATTAGCTACACCTTGCTAGTACCCGGGCTGGACACCCTTTTGCCTTCAGAACTGCCTTCATTCTTCGTGGCATAGATTCAACAAGGTGTTGGGAACATCCCTCAGAAATTTTGGTCCATATTGACATGAGTTACTGTTGCCTTTCTATGTTCTCAAACCAGTCTGCCCATTCTCCTCTGACATCAGCAAGGCATTTTCGTCCACACAACTGCTGCTCACTGGATATTTTCTGTTTTCCTTCTTCTGTAAACCCTAGAGATGGTTGTGCGTGATCCCAGTAGATCAGCAGTTTTTGGAATACTCAGACCAGCCCATATGGCACCAACAACCAAGCCTTTTTAAAAGTCACTTTAATCCCCTTTCTTCCCCATTCTAATGCTCAGTTTGAACTTCAGCAAGTCATCTTCACCATGTCTAGATGCCTAAATGCATTGAGTTGTTGCCATGTGATTGGATGATTAGAAATTTGTGTTACCAAGCAATTGAACAGGCGTACTTAACCATTTGACGCCCGGCCTATGGCCGAATGGCATCCGTAAGAATGTATTAGCTTTCCGGTAGGCTGCCATATGGCGTCCTCCCGCACATGCACAGTTTGTACGCGCTTGCAGAGCAGCGCAGCGGCGCAATCTGTCACCGGCCGTGTACCTCGGACAAGGCCGATGACAGATCTGAGTATCGGCCCCCGTTGCCGGTACCATGTGACCTGCTGTGACCAATCACAGGAGGTCACATGACAGTTGTATACAATGGATGGCTTCATTCATGCCATCCATTGTATACTAGTGTCTAGCTGTGAATGGTCACAGCTAATCACATGCACATGTCATGTGATTAGCTGTGGCCAAATCACAGCTAAGCACAAAAAAAACAACAAAAAAAACCCCTGAATGAATCGATGTCATTCAGGTAAATGCTTGCTTATAGCAAAGTAATTCTTTGCTATAAGCAAATTGTGTAAAAAAAAAAAAAAAAAAATACTGATCACTTCCCCAAAGTAGTACAATGTTACTATGGTAACATTGTACTACTTTGGACATAGTGAAATATGAAAATAAAATCTTAAAAAAAAGAAAAAAAAATGTAATAAAAAAAAAAAATAAATATATATATATATATATTTTTTTTTTTTCACACTGTCACCAGTCAGTGTCCCTGATCACCACCATGCCAGTTATATGATGACGCTGTACTGCACTGGTGACAGTATGTAAAAAAAAATTGTGAAAATAATTTATTTTATTTTTTCATTTTCCAAAAAATTATGACAAAAAAAATACAACTTCAAAAAACTCGCCATGCCTCTTATGAAGTACGTCGGACTGTCTACTTTGCAAAAAGGGGTCATTTGGGGAATATCTGTACTGTTCTGACATTCTTGGACCTCAAGAAGTTAGATTGGCTGTCAGTACTTCAGGATTGATCAATATTCAGATCTATACCATAGTTTGTGAACTCTATAACTTTCCTACAAACTAAAAAATACATCCTAATTTGGGTTATTTTCACCAAAGACATGTAGCAGAATACATCTCGGCCTAAATTTATGAAGAACAATTATTTATTTGCAAACCTTTATAACAGAAACAAAGAAAAACGTGTTTTTTTTTCATAATTTTCGGGCTTTTTTGTTAATTTAGCAAAAAATAAAAACCAAGCGATGATTAAATACCACCAAAAGAAAGCTCTAGTTGTGTGAAGAAAATTATAAAATTTTAGTTTGGGTACATTATTGTATGACCGCGCAATTGTCATTCAAAGTGTGAGAGTGCTGAAACCTGAAAAATGGCCTGGGCAGGAAGGTGTAAAATTGCCCGGTATTGAATTGGTTAATAAAGTGGCCAGTGAATGCACACTAGTGTATGTTACTGCACTCTACTAAGACCTAGCTTACACAGAAAGCAGTAAAAATAGGTGGCTGAGCTGCAATTTTATTGCCCCCACGACCACCCCCCCCTTAACCTTGCACAGCCTCTCGCTGGTACACATGCCATGATACAAAAATTCAACTCTGTAAACATGAACCATTAAAAAAAAGTGGCTGTACCACAACCATGGGCAATGCATGTGGTTGCACCATGGCAGTGTAGGGTTTTCAGGATTAAAACAGGCAGTGAAGAGGCAGCATTATCACCTCCCACCCTCCTGTTAACCGCAGGTGGCTTCTCAGAGTGCAGTCATGGGCTGGCGCATGTGCAAATGAGCGCTTGGAGTGTTTTCCATTGTGTTCAAATTGTTAATTAGTTTCTGTAAGCTTTTTGTTAAAGGTTTTCTTATCAGTGTTTAACCACTTGCTCTCCAGAGGATTTACTCCCTTCCTGACCAGGCCTTTTTTTGCGACACGTCGCTGCTTTATTTTAACTGACAATTGCTCGAATGCGATCTTTAAATGGCTTGTTTAGGCACACATCCAGTGGCTGTACCAACGATGTCAATCCTGCAGGAATAACTGCCGCATCTGTGTTTATTCTTGCAAGCCTTTGATTGGTGCTGGGAGTTAAATGAGCCCTGAACATATCCCACCCCAGTAGACTACGTTTTTGAATAGGTCCACCTGGTCGCCTGCTCCATACATTATCAAGCCATAGCTTTAACCCCTTCTTCATCCATCCAGCCTTTTTCATTCACGTGTACAAAACAACCAACAGGGAACTTGAGTTTCGGCATTGTTTTTCTTTTAAAAGAAAAAAAAGGTTGGCGCCATCAGCTGTGCATGCTAGTACCACTGTAAAACTGGACTTCTCATGTCCTGTTGTTTTAATTAAAATTGTTTTTTTCACCTTTTGGATGGACAGTTTTATTTCCAACCATATCAAAATTCATTGGAGTTTCATCCACATTTCCGATACTACTTAACGCATAGCCATGTTTATTGCGCTGTTGTATTACGTATCGATGGAAACTGTTTACTTTGGCATCAAGATCTGCAGGTAATTTTTGTGCAATTTTCGTCTTTTGCCTCAGTGTCATATTATGCCTTTCCAAGAATCTAGTACACCAGGATACAGTGGCCTTAAATCTGTTGCTGTGATCTGGGTTAGATTTGGCCCACTGAAGTGCAAACAAACGTATTTTATTTCGTGTCACTATATAACCGTTTTGGCGATGCTCATTCACCATGTTTGCTACATGTTTTTCGAGTTCTGGCCAATGTGGGGTGCCTCTTCTTAATGCACACTTACCCCTTGGCATACTCTTTAATGCTTTTTCATTTGCTTTCCAGTCCCGAACCATCTTTTCTGTTACTCCATATTGTCTTGCAGCAGCACAGTTATTCTGTTCCATGGCAAAGTTTACAACTTTAAGTTTGAAACTGGCTTCATATTTCTTTCTTCTTGCTGGTGGAGCCATGATGGGGTCTTGACTGTTATCCATTTGTATACTGTACTGTATGTACTGGTGCTGTACTGTATGAACCGGTAAAGATACTGGTGCTGTACTGTATGAACCGGTAAAAGATACTGGTGCTGTACTGTATGAACCGGTAAAGATACTGGTGCTGTACTGTATGAACCGGTACAGATACTGGTGCTGTACTGTATGAACCGGTAAAGATACTGGTGCTGTACTGTATGAACCGGTAAAGATACTGGTGCTGTACTGTATGAACCGGTAAAGATACTGGTGCTGTACTGTATGAACCGGTAAAGAACCTGGTAAAGATACTAGGTGCTGTACTGTATGAACCGGTAAAGATACTGGTGCTGTACTGTATGAACCTGTACTGTATGAACCGGTAAAGATACTGGTGCTGTACTGTATGAACCGGTAAAGATACTGGTGCTGTACTGTATGAACCGGTGCTGTAAAACCGGTATACTGGTGCTGTACTGTATGAACCGGTAAAAGATACTGGTGCTGTACTGTATGAACCGGTAAAGATACTACTGTGCTGTGCTGTACTGTATGAACCGGTAAAGATACTGGTGCTGTACTGTATGGAACCGGTGCTGTACTGATGAACCGGGATGCTGGTGTGTACTGTATGAACCGGTAAAGGTACTGGTGCTGTACAGTATGAACCGGTAAAGGTACTGGTGCTGTACTGTATGAACCGGTAAAGATACTGGTGCTGTACTGTATGTAACCGGTAAAGATACTGGTGCTGTACTGTATGAACCGGTAAAGATACTGGTGCTGTACTCTATGAACCGGTAAAGATACTGGTGCTGTACTGTATGAACCGGTAAAGATACTGGTGCTGTACTGTATGAACCGGTAAAAACTGGTGCTGTACTGGTGCTGTACTGTATGTATGAACCGGTAAAGATACTGGTGCTGTACTGTATGAACCGGTAAAGATACTGGTGCTGTACTGTATGAACCGGTAAAGATACTGGTGCTGTACTGTATGAACCGGTAAAGATACTGGTGCTGTACTGTATGAACCGGTAAAGATACTGGTGCTGTACTGTATGAACCGGTAAAGATACTGGTGCTGTACTGTATGAACCGGTAAAGATACTGGTGCTGTACTGTATGAACCGGTAAAGATACTGGTGCTGTACTGTATGAACCGGTAAAGATACTGGTGCTGTACTGTATGAACCGGTAAAGATACTGGTGCTGTACTGTATAAACCGGTACAGATACTGGTGCTGTACTGTATGAACCGGTACAGATACTGGTGCTGTACTGTATGAACCGGTAAAGGTACTGGTGCT